GAACAAAACACTGACATACAGTTTACCAGAGAAGTCGAAGAAAATGGCAAACTTCCTTTTCTAGACTGCCTGGTAAGCCACAACGACAACTCATTACGGACGACAGTTTACAGGAAACCGACACACACCGACAGATTACTAGACGAGTCATCCTACAACCCTACATCACACAAAGCCACAACTATCAGAACTCTAACACGACGCGCACAACTAGTATGTGACTCGACAGACAGCTTATCCGACGAGAACAAATACCTTCACCGTGTTTTTACGAAGAACAACTACAACAACGACTTCATCCGACGAAACACTCACCGACCCACTACCACTACCGAAACAAACGACACCGCAACCCCTACGACTACAGCAACCATACCGTACATAAAAGGCATGTCTGAAAACATCTCGCGCATCTTACTACCCTTCAATATCCGCGTCGCCCACAAACCCATCACCACACTACGTCAGTTACTAACCAACGTTAAAGACAAAGACGAACCGAGGAACAGACAGGGAACGATTTATAAGATCAATTGTTCCGACTGCCAAGCCTCCTACATCGGTGAGACTGGCAGAAACCTCACAACAAGACTGACTGAACACAGACGGGCGACGAGGAAAGGTGATGTCAGCAATCACATTGCTGAACACCATCGACTTACCAACCACAACATTGACTGGGACTCTGCGCAATGCCTAACCTACAGCACTGACTATTTTCAACGACTGACTCTGGAAAGCTGGTTTACTAACTTAGAACAGACTCCCCTAAACAGATGTCAACAACTACCCGCTCCATACAAACGACTCATTCACGACATAAACATCACAAACGACCGAAAAAGAACGACCTAACTTTACCGACAGATCGAAACAGACCAATCACGACCGACTTACGTCACTTGAGTCTTACAGCCAATAACATCACGGCAAAACCAACCGATCATTTCACACGAACTGGAATAAGAACATTCTACTGACAACAATCATTCACTTGACTCTGATGATGACTTCCGCACGGGTTGTCGAAACGTCAGTCACTGCCACCGACAACAGTCCTTCTCAGGACTACACTCACCCGGACGATCCGACTACACCTTCACATGTTACCCCCGGGCTCAAACCATTTACTGCATTCAAAGTCATTCCTGAACGGATAACAGTCGAAGGGTAACTTACTCGGCCGCGTTGCCTCACAGATCTCCAGAGCTGGATGCTTCGAGTTAAACTTTTTCATGCTCTTGCGATATTGCAGGATTTCCTTTTCATCGCCGTTTGGAAGCCTGGGATCTATTGCCAGCATCCCTTTACAACCACCGTCACGAATCTGATAAGCAGACGGGGTAGGATCCAAATCGAGGCTATCTGCCACCTGAAAATAGGATATCAGCATATTGAAAAGTATAATGGTTTAACTGTTCTCGTGGGAGATAAATCAAGTCACTGCTGCGCACTGTAGGTCATTAACACATTTACCCATATACGAATTTTCGTCAAAATGCTCGCGGCACAAAGTTTTCATTCTTGACTCTTGAATCTGATGTAGTAACGTAAAAGCAAGAAGTTTTTCATAACACTGAATAGAAAATCTTGAAGACATGACTTGATTCGTAAATTTCAAGCATGAAAAAAGGCTGGGATGAAATACGCACGATATGTTGTTACGTACTTTCTCGGCCAAGGCTTTACTGATTTTCCCAACTCCATCACTTAAGGTGTATTTTCCAGATCTAAAGTTGTCACAACATTCAAAATACACATCTTTATATTTTACTTCTATATTTGGAATTTCTTCCACAGTACAACCCTCTTCAATGCTGACTGTCACCGCCTCCTTTGTGGACGAGAAGCACTGACCCATGCGAGACACATAGGTGGCAACACATCTAATCTCATTCAGCTGCCCAAGCGATCCTCTTATGTCAGCGGCTCTGTGCTCTTTATCGTACAGCCATGCACCGTGATCACGTAACTGACTACTGGAACAAGCCAGGAACTCAAACTTTCTCCCAGCAATGTGGATGTCGTTAGAGAGCAATTCTACTACACGTTCATTCAAGACGTGTTTGAGGCCTTCTGGGTACGTTGATGAGAGCTTGGAAAAGTCTTCCTCCCGGAATGCAATTCGCATCGTTTGCTCGTGCCCATACTCCCTGATGACACGGTTCTCTGCAACCAATTCTGCGGACAGGAGGTAATCTTGAGTAGGGGTAACGATAAGTCGAGGTACGTATACGTAATGCTGCGGAATCTCAAATTCAAATGCCGTCAGATGTGTCATGTCTCCATAGAGCAATCTCTCAAGGTAATGCTGTAAAGGGCAGAATCGATCCGTCTCCACAATGTTGACCAACTTGTACAGAGCTTTGCAAACTTTCTCTGGAGATACGAGGGTGTTTGCCAGGAGTAAGCCATACCTGTTTGTGGCGCTTCGTAACAAGTCGTAAAACTTTCGAGAAACACGATCACGAACTTTGAAGCCTCGAGACAAAAGACATTCCAAAGCGTACTTGATCTTGGGGTCCGAGAGTGTGGGTTTCTTTGGAGCCTCCGTGTGTCCTCGAGGAAACCTTGTATTTATACTCGAGAAACAAAGAGAAAAGCCTAGAAAAGTGAATATCTGAATGATCAGATGGATAGATAAATAGAGAGATAAGTAATTAATTGAAAAAAAAGGCAAGAAAACATTTGTATAAATAAATCGAAAGAAAAAATATATATTGAACATGAATCAGAGAGGGAAAAAATTATCGGTCATAATTTATTGCTTGGGAAGAGGGAGGGGGGGGGAGGCGGGTGAGTGTTTGGAGGATTTTGGTTGTGCCACAATAAAATTAACCTGATTCCCCCTAAGGATATGGGTTTCCCCTGAAAACCATGTGATCCCCCAAAAATCTTCGGTTCCCCCCTCTGGCGATAACTGTTGACTTGTTCCTAAATCACGTGATAAATAACGTTATAAAATAAAAATAAATAAAAGTGAATCAATAAAAGTTGTATAAAAACATATACTATCAGAAATCTCCCAAGAACTAGTGTGAAACTGAATGACATAAAGTTTCCAGACTCGAAATTAGCTAACTGGAATCAAATTCTTGCAAGTTTTTCAGACAGATTCGACTAACAATAAAAAGGTCAAATTGATTCTTTTTTTTTCCTGTTATCATCTTGAAAATAAGTCCGTTCTGGAGAATGGCAAAATAAACACCCAATGCTTAAGTCGGTCACGGTCGATTGATTAGGCAGAGTCCTCATATATTGTAAACACGATCCTGAATAACTAGTGCTTACCTCTCCGTGAAAGGCCAGTCATCAATCCAAGAGGGGAATCTGCCTCATCTTGCTCGAGAATTCTTTCTTTCAGAGGAAAGTTTAAGCATAACACTTAACTTGAGCCCAAAATTTCTCGACTGCATCCTAGGAAGTGACTCAGGCGGTCGTAGTTTGTGCGGCCATTGATTTTTAATTCTGTATTCGATAGGAATTTAAAACATTTATAAACATAATTTCCCACACCAGGACATTTTTTAGAAAAGGAATGGAAACTCTTCTTACAAAATGGAATTTAAAACTTCAAAGTTGATCAATCTGAGCGTTAGTCTAACCTCATTCATCATCGCAGTTTCGAAATGACTGCTAATATAACACTATAAGGATTTTCAAGTCTCCTTCGTCGTTTACTTAAATCCAAGTCAGTAATGGAAGGTGTTTCACAGAAATTCTTCTCGTGAGATACTTAAAATTTTGATAAATTGGGATGGCAACGCAAGTTTTCAGTGAAGGCCTAAAAGCTTAGCGCAGCCTTTTTCTTTTCTAGAATAATTTTATAATTTCTTGATCTCAAAACATGAAGCGGAGGTGCTTACATATCTCCCTTAGTTGCTTCGACCGCTTTTCTTTTCTTGATATTTGAATGGGAAACAATATTCCTTGTCTCGATTAGGATACTTACCTTCGGATATTTTTTGTGGCCACTGCAGGGGAAAATAGAAGCTAATTTTTCCATTGGTAAAGTTTTCATCGACGACGACATAATTTTCAAACTGCCTGTGTTCCATTTCAATTTTTATTTCTCTAGATCCTTTAACAGCGCCCCCCTTGAAGAAGAAGATCGTGAAGGTTCCCAAATCATGCTGAAACTCGCTTTCGATGCTTCCATCTTGAATGAAAACAGAATCTTGTTCACTCGACCAGTGCTGTACGTACGTGCCAGGGGTAGTAAATGTTCCAAAGCTGAAGGAAGCAACTCTAATCATTTGCCCTGTCTCATCTGTCTTGTATTTGGAAGTATCTTCGGGAGTCTCTGACTCCATCCAGAACGAGTCGCCACGCTGGCAAATAGAGGAACACCATTCTCGTCGAAATCGCTCAAAAAACTTCGCTTTGCTAGATTCCGTTGTCTTCAAATGGATGCTAATGATTCTGGCATTCCCAGTTGGGGAATTAACCGGCTCTTGCGCTTTCGCAACTTGGAACCTTGAGGCTTTCAGTAAATCTTTGAAATCTTCAATTTGACGACGACTTCGTCTCTCTCTCTCTGAATGAAAACGACTGCCCCAGATATTTATGCTCAGTTCGACTTCTTTAGGTTTAGCCGGAATTTTATGTTTCGCCAGCTTATTTCGGCGATGTGCCATGCTAACACAAGTACACGGTTTGACCGAAGAGTTAAAGTTTTTGCAAAACACTGATTATCATGTGATGGAGGCTTTGTCGGCAATGCTTTTTGTCGAAACCTGTTTAGGTTGACAACATTTCAACCTGCCTGAATTTTTTTTGCAACTCAAGCACATTTAAGGCCGTCAAAACAATCTGAGTATTATTGCGCAGACTCAAACAGTCAGGGCCAATTCCCAGAAGAGGCGATTTTTCTAAGAATCTGAACTTCCGTATGAAATTCCCGAAGAGACATTGTTCGTGATCGCAAATACAGGCAAACGCCTTTACCTTTGTTTGTTTGGTTATTATTTCGTCAAACGTTTTTGAAACATTGTGTCTCATTTATTTCTGAATTTCTCAGATTTCTCTTTAAACCTGACACGAAAAAGTCCCCAATAGGCAATGGAACGGCCGTCACTCAAATCAGTCACGCAACAACAAAACATTGCCCATTCTGCTATCAAATGATTCGATAAACAAAGCTGAAGTACGTGATAGGTATTACCGTCTTGCCTTTGAAGTGTGGACGTCTCGTATTCTGCAGCATACACCTTTATTGGTATCTAACGGGCTATATCAGCAACTAAACTACTCGTACACCTAGTTACAAGCTTGGCTTTTAGAGGTACGGTTAAGAATCTAGAACATTCCGTAACATTACGATAGATTTTATTTATATATTAACGCAGGGATGACTCAGTATGACACAGCTACTTCTAGAACATTCTTGAAGGTTACACTACAGCCGTCAATTACTCCAAAACAATAGCTGTGTCCGTAATCTGTCAAGCCCGGTCCAGTAATTTGTGAATTACCACTGAAGTTTATTTCGTCGGAGAAAGTGAGGAACGTAGGGAAACGAAATGTAATTTTAGTCACATTTCGTTAAAAATATCGATCCCGGTTTCGCGCGCAGCGGGCGCAACTTACATGGAGTGGGCTATGTTGTCACACAACATTGGAGAGCAGTCGTGGTAAGTCTAGGTATTATATATTATTTGAGCGAAATGGTCCCTTGTGTCATTCATGTCCTTTGGTAGAACATGTTTACTCCTGTTTTAATATCAAATCACGGCATGCTCAGTGGCTTGACAGCGATCGCTGAAATGTTTTTTTTCGTTCGGAATCAATTTGTCTTGTCGAGATGGGAGATTTTGTCGTATTACTCGGAAATCAGTCCTAGTGAATTTCAGTTGGGGACGTGGGATGTTTTGAGGTTACCTTTGGTCGTCGAGGAGGAGTATTTCTTCTATAGCGTCTGTCAAGCATGTTATGGTAATTTGAATTATAAAATTTTGATTTTGTAAAATGGATGCGCAGAATTCGTGATAGAATAAAAGACTACTGCCATCTAACCGCTAACGAGCGTTGAAATATTGGGAAAATAGTCCTTTACGCCCTAACATCGATCAGTATACGTTTTTCTCTTTTAGTATTATTAAACATAGTTTGTGAAACAATATCAAGAGCTTTTGCAACCGATAATTCCGGATGACCGCCATTATGTTTGATTCGGAGGTGATAAGGAGAAATCAGATGGAAGTTATACTTAAAGGGTTAAGCAGTGAAACTGGAAACGTCTAAGGTTTCGAAAAGCTAATTTTTCCCTGGCAATTCAGTCACAAGAAATGAACTAGGTTCCTTGATCTTTGGAGGTGTTGCGTGACGCTAAGCTATTGAGAAACGTCAGCTTTTGTAATCGTTACGGTGGCCAATTTACCATTTCAACTTTGTTGATATATCCAAATTATTTCGTTACCCCCACCGACGCAGCCCCAAACAGTTTCTTTCGAAACTATATATATCTTATTAGACGTTTTGTTGTGTAGTATATTTTGTTGTAGTATATTTTGTTGTGTAGTATTTCGCCCGTAGGGCGAGTCAAAATATAAATAACGAGTAAAAATACTCAGCGATACTACACAACAAAACGTCTAATAAGTTATTTATTATCCAACACGCTAAACTGTTACTTCAGTGCGGGCGAATTTCGCGGATGTTTTATTTACGGGGAGTGCGTGACAGAAGTATGCGAAGCGGAACGGAATTGGCGCGTTGTTGTGCTGCTGTTTCTATTTTCTTCATTAAATGATGATGATGATGATGAACTTTATTCATGTGTCAATTATAAAAT